GGAGCTAGGATCTTCCTGAAAGCATGGGTACGTGAAGCAACCAGTAATGGCATAGATGCTGAAGTAGTGTGTCCAACCACAGAGACAAACACTTGTCCTGTATCTCCCATTGCTCCCATGGTGCAGCACAGCTGGAGAAGTGGGAGTCTTTTTGTGTGTTCACAAGTGCATCTGCCTGTGGAGATGCGATGTTGCCCTGACACACTCTCACGTGCCCCTTCCTTGCCAAGCGCTCACTCACATGTACACTGAAACAAAGGCACGCAAGCTCCACTCCCCACTGTCTGTGAGAACAATTATAGGGTAAAACTTGCAAAACTTGGCAGAGCCTCAGCACTTGGAGCACTGCCAGTTGGGTTTTCCCATGCCCATATGTTTGCTGATTTTCACTTAGTAACGAATGCTTAGCATGTTGTATCATTCTATCCTTATGTCCAACATTCTTCATTCTCTGTGAGTTGGCCAAGAATGGCATGCCTTCACTGTGTCCACCTTCACGTTCTTCTCGGTTCTTTCTCTCCCACACTCATCTTTTCCTCCCTACTGGATTTCTAACAATATATTTAAAGCCATTTTTCAACTGGATGGCAAACATGACTGTTCTCCACAGCCTGCATGCCTACTTCCAGCTTGCTGAGGGACCACTGACTGCACTTCTCTTTTCATGTTGACTCCAGCAGTATCTTACAGCAGTTATTGCTGGGATTATGGGATTCTTACATCTAAACTCTCAGCACACAATTTGGGAAAGCAGATGCTCCATAAGCAATACTTCTCACATAGAATATTTACTGCTCCAGTAGGCATTTCATGTCTTTGATGTGTATCTGCCTCACACTGAGATCATACTTATTTCTAGACATAGTTAATTGATAAGGAACAGATCTGGTGTATTTCATAAAGGTAAGCAAATCTAAGATTTGGGAGAATAAGCCTTGCACTGAGAATGCTTTATCTTCTATTGTGAGGAGGTTGGTGATTTCCCAGACAACATTTTGAGGAGATGGTGAATGAAAACAACAACAACAACAACAAAGCAGCTCCGTTTCAACAACCTGAAAACTTTATGCCTAGCTATCACTTCAAGAGTTTTTCCTTCCAGGCTATGCTGCTATGTGCAAGCACTGTACTTCTCTCCCCTGACAAGATGCTGCCCTTTTGAGAACTGAACCCCTTTAGTTTCCTCCAAATTCATGCTCTTTATCTCACGGAAACACCCAGGGAATGCAAATAGAGAATCAAAAGGTAACCTTGAGGACTTTTGTGGCTACCCTTGGTGTTTCAAATCCACTTGTAAGTAGTTCTTCATGTCTGTCTTAAGTTAGAGTATTTTTTGATGTTGTGACTTTGCTTTTAGCTGTTCAGCATACCTGGGACTGCAACACGTATTTTGCAGCTCATTTGAGAAAAGGGATTTTTTTCTGAGTGAGTTGGCATGCTTTGTGTTTAAGTCCCTTTACTCTCTTGTCATCTGAAGAGGTCAGGTGAACCCCAGCCATAAGCCTACAGCACAACTTCTCAAAACATAGAAAATTCCCTTTGTTTTCTTGCTCTCAGCCTATATGATTTGCAGTATGCACCATTTCATGGCTTCATTGCATCTTCCAGCTGTCTTATTAGACCTGCTTACAGTGTCTCTAGCAGTTTCACAGTTCAAGGTATTTCAAGCCCTTTGCAGAGCCTTGGACACTGGAGCACCCTCTCTGCATTTTTCAAATCACTCCTGGAAAGCCTGTAATTTCTGCATCTCTTCTTCACCAACCAGCTCTCTTCTCTCCCCCACCCTTACTTAGTGTGAAGAGTAATACTGTAGCTCTCTGGGCTCCTTGACATGTCCCCCCAAAAAACAGGCTGACCCTTCCCTTCAGAGAACCCATTGATTTTCCTGTCTGATACTGTTTTTTTCTTGATCTGGTAAATCCATGCCAGAACAAAAGGTCCTTCTGCTCAGCTGGGTTCCGTCACCCAGTTGAACTTTGCTGAATGTTTTTGATGCCACCTGGAACAAGACACACACACATTTCCTATTGATGAGAACTATCTGGCACTTTCCTCCTCAGATGAAAAGCAGAAGGTTGGGGTGGGTCAAATGCCTCAAATTCTCCATAAGCAGATCCAGAAATAGGGACTGAGCTTTAGTGCTTTTCACTTCAGACAGGCAGGAGGTGCTGACAGCAGAAGAGGTGCCTAAACTGAGACAGTAAAACTCATAGGTATCAAATCTCGCCTTACTTTGCAGAGATCCCTCGGGAGAAAATGAAACTCAGCTCTGCTCATGCAAGGTTAACAAATGGGTCTAAAACAGATTTCAGGGACAAACCAGCTCTGGGGGAGACATACTGCCGTTTCTGATTGATCACTGATGCAGGGGGAAGCCTTTAAGTTTTAGAAGCTCAGGTTTAGGCCAGTCCAGAACACACTGTAGCATAGGAATGTTTGGTGAACATTCTTGTTAAAGTGCTCTCATTGACATGGGACCTGAACTTGGTCCTTGCACGCTTCCTGGGACAGCCATTGGAGCCCTTGTCTCCTGTTGTATGTACCAGACTTCAAGGCCATTTCCTGCACCCAGCAGCAATTCAAACTTCTGACATCTTCTATCATTCTTCGTAGTTGAGACAACTTTTTAGGTTCATCCCAAAATTCCCCCCAGTGATTGTGTCAGAATTCCATCCAAACTTAAGAAATAAACATCTGCTTTCTCCCTTAAGCCTCACACCTCTGTGGACAAGCCATCTTTGGACACTAGATAACAAGAAGACCATTTTTACAGCCTGAGACATCCTGGCTGCTTCTTTGGGGTGTGTGGACCATATCTCACTAGAGCTCAGTCACCGTCTCAAGTGACTGCGGGGAGCTTCCTGCCTGGGGCAGCACGCTTTCAACTCCATCTCTGTAATTGCCAGGGCACTGTGGAACAATGATGCATGCAAAAATCAGCCCAGTGGTCTTTTTATTCTTAAGAAGACAGAGGACCAGCTCCACATCTCCAGTAATCACATAATGGACAGAAGCATTGAATTTTTATGGACTGGCTCTCAAATAAGAAAAATTATTTACTATTAACTCTACATTTGATATCTGTAATCCATATGCAGACTTGTTACCTATTTTCCTTTCCACTTCCATCTTTAGATCTCTTTTCTGACACTTCTGTTGCTAAGTGTCACCACAGAATATTGCTGTTTTGTAATTACGTTTGTGCTGAGAGGGAAGACAGAGCATGTGTGCCCCCTCTGGGTATTGCATTGGTAAAAACAGGTCTGGCTTGAGGGTTTGCTGTGCAACCATGCACAGTGTAAATGAACATATCTGCAAAAAAAACACATCCAGGAGCCACATCCACTGAAAGTAACTTTTCTTCTTTGGCTGCTTAGCACTTCCCTCTGCCTGTCCTCTCGGGATAGCACTGGCTTGTGTGAACCTTGCCTCAGAATCTGGAGGAACACAGTGAAGCTGAAGCCAACCCATGTGTGGGAGGACAAGAAAGATTTCTTGACAACTGTTAAGACTTGACAAGCAAAACAAATAATAACAGCAAAAAAAAAAAAGAAAGCATACCAAAACTCAAGGCTGGTAAGTACCTGTCAGTCCCTACCACAGACTCCAGGCTGGACGAGGATGGACATGCTACAAGGAACTGATAGCCAGATACAGCTTTTGCCTTTTTATGTTTTGCTTCTACATTAAGACAAAATAAAGCAAATGGGTGAAATGAACCAAGGCATGCAGCAATATTTCAATAATTTTTTTTTTCTCATGCCAGAACCACAGAAGAATCAAACTGAAGAAAATGTGACAGTGGTGCTGTCGAGGGACATGGATTAGGTGACACGGCCACTCTACCTGCCAAGTTGAAATGCAGATGCCAAGTCCTTCAGTCTTACCACAAGAAATGCTCATTCCCTAACCCTGGGTACCTGGACACTGGAACAGGCTGCCCAGAGGTTGTGGATGCCCACAGCCTTGAAAGCCTGACACAATCATTGGGGGAATTTTGGGATGAACCTAAAAAGTTGTCTCAACTACGAAGAACGATAGAAGATGTCAGAAGTTTGAATTGCTTGAATTGCCCACAGCCTTGAATTCAAAGGCTTGAATTCAAGCCTTGAGGCATTCAAGGCCAGCCTGCACGGGGCTTTGAGCTGCCTGGTCTAGAGGGAGGTGTCCCTGCCTATAGCTGGGGGTTTGGACCTACATCATCTTAAAGGTCCCTTCCAGCCCTAACCATTCTATGATTGATTCCATATGGAAAAATGGCACCCACTAATATTCACTGATGATTGCTGAACATTGATGGAGACCAAACAGTGGATGTGACAACAGCCACATGAAAGATGAGCCACGTTCCAGCCAGCCACACAGACGTTTATATGCACAGCATGCATGCTCTTGTTCATTGCTGGCAAAAATGCATAGCCTCGGGTGGTGACTATGCCACTGGCTATCAGTTCTTACGAAAAAAGTGCTAACAAATGAGAATTTGCTCTATCAACTACTGTCATTGTGCCCTTTGTAGCTGCTACAATTCCCATGGAAATAAAGAGGAGGCATTACTTTCAAAGCAACCTACACACTCCCCTTAACACTCAGCGAGCTGCACAGAGCTCAGGGCACGTATGGATGCTGAGACACAGATCCTTGTGCTAAATCACTGCAGCTCGGGGTTTTTGTTGCGTTGGTGCTTCTGATCGGTAGGGATTACCACTAGAATACTTGAGCGCCGAAGCACAACACCACGGGCAAACGCAGCGGGAAACCGCACAAGGCACAATCCACGTTACAGCCCGAGCGCGCAGCGGGGCGCTACCAAAGCCCGGCCCCAAAGGACCGCCCCCAGCGCACTACTGCCACTTCCCTTCCTCCCTCCCCCGCCATTGCGGTCACTTCCGGCGCTTAGACATGACGTAAAAAACAAATCCCCGCCCCCTCCCGCTTCCCTCAGGTTCTGCAGGCGGAGCCCCTCCTTCTGACGTCACTCGGCGTGCGCCGCAGCCCTGCGCACGTGTCGCCGCCATGAGCTGCCCGGTGACGTGCGCCGCCTGGGTGCGCCGCGGCGTTGCCAAGGAGACGCCGGATAAGGTGGGGGTGGAGTGGGGTTGAGGGACCCCCTGAGGGATCCTTGGTCTCCCCTTCTCTTCACGGTGCTGTGTGTCCGCCCGCAGGTGCAGCTCAGCCGGGAAGAGCTGAGGCGACTCGTCGGGGAGGCCCGCGGCAGGTTGCGGTGAGCGGGGACCTCTGGACGGGGGGCGGCTGGTGGCTGGGAGGCGGGCAGCCCAGGATGCTGGGGAGGGGGCAGGAGGAGGTGAGCGTTCCAAAATCATCTTAAGCGTTTGGGAGAGGCTTCCCTTATGCTGGTTTCTCTGAGTCAGAGTTGTTAAGGTTGGAAAAGACCTCTAAGATCACCTAACTCCACCGCCAGCCCATCCCCACCGTGCCCACTGATCACGTCCCTCAGTGCCGCATCCACACGGTTCCTGAACACCTCCAGAGATGGTGACTGCACCACCTCCGTGTGCCACTGCAGCACCGTGCTCTTTTGGAGGAGACACGTTTCTAATGTCTAATCTGCAGACTGAACCATTGCCATGAAAGTTCAGGGCTCTTGAGATGTTGCAAAGTTTGCTCTGTAAGGAGTGACCTGCAACATGCCCCTACACAGTGAGCTTTATGTTTTGTTATCTTCTAATACAAGTATGGGAAGTATGAGGAAGCATAGTCTTAAAAATCTTGAAGAAATACAAATGTTATTGCCTGTGACAAGGCCTATGGGAGGGGGGCAAAAAAAGGGAAGGGAGGAATTAGACACCTGCAAACATACAGAATAGAGGTTTGAAAAATTATATTCAAAAGAGGGCAAGATAAATCATATGACACCCTTAAATTTTGTTTGGTGGAACTCATTTGGAATCATGCATTGTCACAGCATAACAGAATATCCTGAGTTGGAAGGGACCACAAGGATCATCAGAGTCCAGATCCTGGCTCCACACAGCACCACACAACAGCCAAACACTGTGTCTGAGAGCACTACCCAGAAGCTCCTTGAACTCTGACATCTCGGGGCCGTGCCCACAGCCCTGGGCGTTCTGTTCCATGCCCACCACCCCCTGGTACAGACCTGTCCCTAACCCCCAGCTGCCCTCCCCTGACAGCTCCATGCCGTTCCCTCGGGCCCTGTCGCTGTCACACAGAGCAGAGCTCAGCGCTGCCCTCCGCTCCCTGTGAGGAGCTGCAGCCACCATTAGGCCTCCCCTCAGCTCCTCTGCTCTGGGCTGAGCAAACCCGGGGCCCTCAGCTATTCCTCATAGACCTTGCCATCCAGACCCTTTACCATCTTTGTCAGCCCTCCTCTGCGTGCTTGCTAATAGTTATCAGGAAAATATGCGAGAAAAAGATTTCATCGCAATTCTCAGGCAGCCTGAGAGAGCAGTGACTTATATTTTGGGGAGAGGTAGGAAAGAAGTGGTTAGATTTCCAAATGATTGGCATAAAGGTTGTAACGCAGTCTGTGTGAACAGCCAGGACTCTGTGTGCTGAAACCTTGCTAGCAGGCTGCTGAGCAGTCTCCCAGAAGCATTCTGCCTGAGTTTCTCAGGGGATGTGTCTTTAAACAGGGAGGGCTCTGATGGCAGCGATGAAGAAGATCAGGGCCAGCCAGCGGATGGCATGGATGTTGCCATTGCGGACAGGGCTGAGTCGCCTCCTGACAATGAAGAGCAGGAGGAAAGTGCTGAAAAGCTGACTGATGATGAACTGGCCGAGTATGATTTAGACAAGTATGATGAAGAGGAAGACGGAGGTGAGAGAAACTGAAATGTCAGATATGTGCTGTAACTTAAGAACGTTCTTCGCTTCTTTTTATGCTTAGGACACAAGTATATTAAAACCACTTAGTGCTTAGTTTAAAGTGCTGGAAATTCACATTTTGAATTCTTTGCTTGTCTCAATTTAGAAAGTGATTTAATAGATCCGTGTCCACTCCTTGCTGTGTTAGTACTGGGTGGTGTTGGAGGGGCTGTTGCTCCCCCTGCTGTTGTGTTGGAGCAGAGCAGCTCTGAACGGTGGAGCTGGCTGAAGTTCTCATGTTTGAAAACTGGAAGTTCATATAGCCCACTCCTGATATTTTACAGTGCATGGAGTGGTGTGGGAGTTTCTGACTGGGTGGTCATTGACACGAATGAGAAATATTTTGAAATTCCCACGTAGGTGATAGCAAACTTGGAGAGACTTTGGCTGGTCTGGCAGTTTATGGAAGCAATGATCAGGATCCTTACATCACTCTGAAAAACACTGTAAGTACTGTAAAAATGTTAAATATCTGAAACGGCATAAACTTAGAATTCATTTAGGTTTTCTTCCCTCCCAAGCTGCCTTAGGGTGCTTGCGGTCCTTTAAAAAGTCTGCCAGATTTGTGCTCAGACAGAATTCTTTTCTTTAAGATTGCTTTGTGCAATCCCCTTTATGTGTGCTTTTTATGTTTAACTTAGGTGTTGAGGTGAACTGACTCACAATTGAAGAAATGTACTTCTGTATGTGGAGGGGCCTCGTTTGCTAGCTAATAGGACTCAGAAAATGCTTGAAGAAATAACAAATCTCAGGTCACTAATGACCCTAATAAGACAGCTTTTCAGCTTGCAATACTCCTGCATGTTCCTTCCGGCCAGATGCACTCAGGCTAGTTTAGAAAACAAATAAAATGCAAAGTAATCATGTCAAATCAGCACTGTGGCTTGAAGAAATTCATCTGTGTTTATTAAGGATGCTTTTTGGTGCTCCAGCATGCATTTTGTTGTTGGTGGTGTTTGCTACCACCACTGTTGAAGAGTTAGGTACTGTGCAGTATTAATTGTACCAATTCAGAAAATTGCAATACTTGATAGAATGCAAATATAAAAAAATACTTTGAGTGAGTGAAGAAGAAATTATTAAAAGCTTGCAACGTGGTGCCCAAAAGGTCTCCTGTGCATTGTTCATTTGAAGGATGGCATTCTGTGTAAGGCTACTGTCTTTAATATGCAGTTCCTAGTTTTGCACTAACAAAAATTCCCTGAATGCCTTCCATTCCTTAGTAACAATGGGAACTGGATGGAGGCTACATCTGTTCTGGTGCAGCTGAATGCCAGTGTAGCTGCAGGCAGTACTTCTCTGGAACTATTTTCCAGAATGTGGACAATGTTTTAATGCTCTGGGAATTGCTGCCTGCTTGTGAGGAGCAGTGCCTCAGTGTCCTTATTGTGCAGACCGTTGTTACACGATGTAGATGCTCAAGGCATGATAGACAAAGGAAAATAAGCTACAAATGTGGGATCCTGATGGTGATTTTCTTTTCAGTGATGGGTTGCATCTTGGTAGGCTCAAAAGATGGTTTCATGTGTGGTGATGAAACATTTCTCTAAATCCAACTACATCCACATTAATGCCATCTCTATAGTATTCAGAGATACATTCAGCCTTCCTGTGACAGAACCTGGTTCTGCCTTTCTGCATCTACTGCTATACGATGCTTTTGGGTGGGTGGGCTGCAGGGTGTTGGTTGTTTTCTGTAATGTTTAAAAACTGTTACAGATTCAGCCTTTGGAACTTGTGCAGTTGTGTGTGTGTGTGTTCTTTGCTTAACGTGTTAGCCTCTCCTTTTCACTGCTCAGGATCAATATGAACAGGAGGACTTTCTGATTAAGCCCAACGACAATCTTGTCCTTTGTGGCAGGGTCGATAAAGACTACTGCAGTTTGGAGGTCCATGGTAAGTAATGTAGGATTTGTGCCTTACAGAGAAACCTGTTGTTTTTTTTCCGTGTGGATGTGTTGAAGATCTGGAGTCTTCAGCTTCCTCTGAAGTGAAAACTGTTCATCTGTTACCTAATGTCCCACGATACTGAATCTGGACTTTATTTCTTTTTCTTGTTTCTATGAAATGAATGCTTCAACCTTCATTGGTGTCTCTCATGTAGAAAATTGAGATTATGGGTGCCGAGTATTTGTATTGAAGTGATTGTTTAAACAAAGTCATGCACACTGTGATGTCTGAATTTTGCTAACTTTTCACTTTGTCACTAAAGTACGCAGGGCAATGTTAGTTTTGTAGGATTCTGTGAGCTGTAGCAGTACTTTGAGACTATGACTTCTACTTGGGAGCTCTGAACATATTGGAAACTTGCATTGTAATGTAGTGTTTGCCATATCTTCTTTCTGCAGAGGTAAGCTGATTTTGGCTGCTTGCTTTTCCTCTTCACTGATGTCACATACATCTTTTTCAGTTTATAATCACGAAGAAGACTCATTTTACGTACATCATGATATCATCTTGCCTGCTTATCCTCTGAGTTTGGAGTGGCTAAATTTTGATCCCAACCCTGAGGAGTCATCAGGTAAATGACAAAGGATACTGTAATTGTCCAATAAAAGTATTTGTACTTGAAAAGTATGTAAATGTAATGTTGTTACTAAGTAGTTTCCTTCACTGAAACTGAAATAAACTCAAGATGTTAAGAGGGGAAAACTGAAAATCTTTTTTTTTTTTCATTTGGTGATAAGTTACCTTAGTGATGCTGGAATAACAAGTGTTGCAACTAAAACATTGGCTTAATTAGAAATAGTTAAGTTATTGTTAATTAGCAGAACAAAGCAAGCTGTTTTTTTGACGTTTACAAGTGCAAGGTTTCAAATTCATTATGGCACAGCACTGTTGCAACATTCACCTATATTTATGTTTTTAGTAACATTTTTCGTGTGGTGCTTTAACAGGGCTTGTTTGAACAGCCATGTGTACTGAAGGGGAAGTGTACTAAAGGAGCACATCAGTTCTCCTGGCAGCATCTGCTTTCAGCAGTTTTAAACTCATCCTTGTCATTTATAATAATAAAAAATGCTCAACTAGAAAATTCTGGCACATAAATAGAAATTTTACTTGAAGAAATATGTAGAAGCTGGGTTGCCAAATATGCTGTTTTGTAACTCTAGATGTGATTGCATTTGTTGTTGGTTTGTTTTTTTGTGTGTGTGTGTGTATGCAGGAAATTATGTTGCAGTAGGTAACATGACCCCAGTTATTGATATCTGGGACCTTGATATAGTGGACTGCCTAGAACCTGTCTTTTCTCTCGGGAGCAAGAAAGAGAAAAAGAAGAAAAAGAAAGGGAAGAAAGTAAGTATTGGTTGAACGGAGGAAACTTAGAGCGAGGATAATGTTCTTACTACTTTCCTGTAATGGAAAAAATAAAACTGTAGGTAGTCTGGTTTAATTCCCTCTGTTGTCTAGACAGGTTACAGAAGATTATGTTCTGGCTGCATACAGGGGGCTGAAACTGCTATTTGCCTGTGACTCAGGGAGTTGAAATGGCATTGAGCAATAAAGAACAAGGTTTACTCTAATAAAACACAGCTAGTTTAGATTCACCTCTGTCAGCTTTATTCGTCTGAAAGTGAAGCATGTTTAAAGTAGTCATTGAGATAATATAGCGTGTGTACATAGAGCACACCCAGAGAGTGACTGAGGTATCAGAATTGCTATTAAAGGTAACCATTCGTAGATGTTACTTCAGCTTGAGACACTCATTGCTCTGTGCAGGGATAGTTAAAGCCTGGAGGAAAGAGCAGAGAAAGAGTGGGATAACTTATGGGTACCTTCCAAGTTGTTCTCCTAGAAAAATCCTTCAAAACTCAACCATTTAAAATTAGAATTTATGGGAGCTGGTAATTAAAGGACCAAAAGTGCAGTTGATGGGGAAAATAAGTAAATGCCAGGAGAGTTTAGAAAGAAGCTGAAAAAGCTGCACGTTAGGTGGTGGAAATGAAATTTCCTCTACTGTAGCCTGAAGGGAGTAACTGGTTCTGTGAGCTATCCTGCTGTGAATGGAGCAGTCTGAGAGCTGGGGTAAGAGAAGGTGCCTTGTTGCAGCAAGTGAGAATGATTTTAAAAGTGTAGTTGTTTGTGGAGGCATCAAGGAGTTCATAGTAGTGTGTTGTGCTGCTTGATTTCCATTGAAGCTATAATGTTCTGAAGTCTGCCTGTGCTGTATCTGCCTATGCAGGGTTCACCTCAGGAAGGGGCAATGGAAGGACATGCTGATGCTGTTCTCGATCTCTCGTGGAATAAACAAAGCAGGTAAAGGAGCATTTGAAAAACAATGCTTGCAGCATTGGCACAGTTAATCAGGCATGCTTTTTTCACTAATTCAAAACCTTATGAAGCGTAGTGCTGAACTTGAAAGCAGTTTTGAAATGAATCAGTTCTCAAAAATATTTGCCCCTTTAAAAAACAAAATGGAACAAAACTAGGACCAGATTTCTTTTTTATTTTTAAAATAAATGTTTATATACTGTTGCAGGTAGCTTTTATTTCCAAGTTGTCCAGATGAGGGCAGAGCTAAGGTGGTTCCAAGCCATTCAATAAAGCAGCTGCATTTAAGCCAGATGAACTAACTGGAATAGCACATGGTCTGGGCCAGTCCACCAGTGACCTAAAACAGCATTTCAGCAGATGGAGGTATCTTTATAGAAGGTAGTCCTTGCTGTGTATTATTTTCCTCTGGCTTTTCCCTAGAGCTGTGAAGAGAAAAGACTGTAAAAGCCTTCATAGCACTGCTATAGACACAACTCTGACCTGTGGGAATTACCTGTTGCCTGAGTGAGTTAGTAATCAAGTAATGCTGTTGAAGGAACACAAAGCAGGCACATCTGTGGGGAGAGGTTAAGGATGATGTGCAGGCTGGAATAAAGAAGCCACTTGTTATTGCTTAGGTAGTTTGTAATGAATCAACTGTTAAAGTATTCTTAGGATGAGTCTTGAAACTGTCCCCGTGATAGATTTTTTTTTATTATTTTTTTTTCCTGCTGTCATAAATTCTCTGAAGATGCACACAATCAATTCTACATTCTCTGATCAGCAAGTGTCAGCCTTTACTTAGAGCTCCTTGTTGTCTAGGCACCAAAGTAGGAAGCACGCTCATAGATATTCAATAAACGTGGAGAAGTTGTGCTCTTCCACTGTGTTGTCTATTGATCTTAAATTATGCACGTGCACAGTGTGGTATCATTCCATCAGTCTGACTCAAACATAACTTTCATATTACTTAGAGGTGGTTGTCTTGTGATAGCACAGAGATAAGTCACAAAATTGCAGCTCCAAGAGCTAAAGTGTCTGGAATGTACAGTGCAGTAACACACTGGGTTATGAACACCACGATACTGATAGAGCTTGCAGGAAATAAAAGTTGTACAGTGTTGGGTCTTTGTTAGTTATATAAACACTCAGATACTGGAGAGCTAAGTTTTTTTGTTAAAAATAGATTTGTCTGGATCTTGGCTGCAAGCGTATGCTTACAGACTGAAGTTGCATTAATGCTGGAAAAATACCATCTTTATGTCAAATGGAGGGAAGTGCTTCAAGTCTTTCTCACTTTGTTTTGCTCATGAAGTCATCCAGTAAGTTACATTTTCAAGTGCTGTGGGGAGAAGATCTAATTATGTAGACCAGTGTACTTGTGGGTGCCCCATCCCTGGAGGCTCAAGGCCAGGTTGGATGGGGCCCTGGGCAGCCTGATCTGATGGGGAGCAGCCCTGCCCATGGCAGGCGGTGGGGCTGGGTGGGCTTTGAGGTCCTTTCCAGCCCCAGCCATTTCATGGTTCTATGATACTTGATCTCCAAATCAGATCCTCCACGTATTTAGGATTTCTGACCATTATTAGGTTTTGTGTCTATAAGATTTTCTTAAACCTTATCTTTTGGCTTATTATCAGGAATGTTTTAGCAAGTGCTTCTGCTGACAGTACTGTGATTTTGTGGGATATGTCTGTGGGCAAACCAGCAGCCAGCCTGACTCTACACACAGACAAGGTATGTAATAATTAATGTGTTTATTTCAGTGTAAAACACAGAAAAAAATACTGCAGTTTTTTGTAGCTGCTCAGTACTGAACACATACAACAGCAGCTCTGTGGTTTTCCAATCAACTGTGCAGAATTCTTTAAATTTCTGAATTGGTTTTGCAACAACTATATTTGGTTTTGAAAGTGTTAATTAATACTTATCCATTAGAAAATCATGGAAGACTTGCAGCAATTTCGTGGTTTGTTGTTTTTTTAATGCCTTCTGTGTAAAAGCCCAAGAGGTTGGGAATCTAATAGTGCTGCTATGAAGCTTCAAAAAACAGGTCTCTGAGCATAGATCCAACTGTGAGCTTTGCTTAAGGAAACTATGAGTGTTGCCTATAGTTTGTTCTAGGTAAGAAAGGTTTAAAATAAGTGATACCAAAATTCCATAGTGATGGATATTTGGGAAGTTAATTAATCTTGTAATTAGAACGTGGGAGTTAGTTATTCATAGCTACAACTTTGTTTTGCTGTTAGCAAAGTCGCTGCCTTTGACAAAGGCAGTGGGAGGTAATAGTGATAGGTGGACAGTTGGACTGGATGATCTTAGAGGTCTTTTCCAGCCTTGGTGATTCTATGATTCTATCTCAATGCTTATTCTTTCATAAAATCTTCTGTCACCTAGGTCCAGACGTTGCAGTTTCATCCCTTTGAAACTCAGACCCTTATTTCCGGATCTTACGATAAGTATGTCAGAGTAACGTTTGTCAATGTTACACTTAGCCCAATGTTAATGCCATTAATTAGCCTCAGGTTTTCTTTTAATTTGCTTTTAAGAGTGCCAGATTTGAGTAAGGTTGTTATTTCTTTCCAGTGAGGTAGCCAGATTTGTACGTGGCCAAAATACAGCTTTCCTTCCCTCTTTCTCAGCTTTGCCAAATATTTTCACCATCTGGACTGAAATTTTCTGTGCCAGGCATCTGCTCCAAACTGAACTTATTTCTTGATTTGTCTTTGTCTTTTCTGCAGTAGAAATGTACCTCTGCTCATCCCCCTGTAAACTTCTCCGGGCTTTTCCAAACTGTAAGACTAGGTTGGGCTTTATGTTGTCTGGCTTGTGTTATGCACTTGCTACGCTGGAGGAGAACCCCATGTTGTTGGGAGCTGGGTTCTGCCCATTTTCCTCCCCAAAATTCCTTTTGTAAAAATAAGAAAAAATCTCCAAGCATTCAGACCAGCATCCTGATCCATTGTTAGCTCTCCTTTTGACCCCCTGGCCACCTACATGCCAGTACACTGTAGACCAACAGACTGCCTTTGTGGATTCATCCTGCAGAGCATCCAAGAACCACCTGTAGGTGCCAGTGGTAAAATGAATTTCACAGAGTTCAGTTGTGATTCTGCTTTTTTCCTTTCCTGTTTTCCCACAGGTCAGCTGTGCTGTACGATTGCAGAAGCCCACAAGATAACCATCGAATCTGGCGGTTTAGTGGTCAGGTTGAAAGAGTAACTTGGAATCATTTTTCACCTTGTAATTTCTTAGTGAGTATACACTCTTCTCTTGGCCTGTTGGCTGCTTCACTTAAGCTGTGCTTTTGTATTTTCTCTCAGTATGGTTACACTTAACTTTGTGTAGGTCTGTGAGGCTGCTGTTAGATGGCTCCAAAGTTTGCACTGAGTTTAGAGACAAAAAGCTCAGTATTTCAGTGCTGAGCATAAGTTCTGAGCTCTGTAGTGCAGCCATATTCAGTGCAAAATACAGTTAAATTTGCATACGATTAAGATTTCCACAGAATTCACTGCAATGTAGTTTATATACACAGAATAGTTCAAGCTCCAGATGTATGAAGTCTGACTTTGGAGGTGAAGAACTGTGTACAGGGGAACGTGTCTTGCTAAGAAGCAGTGTAAATTTGTCTCAGATGACAAGGGTTTAATAGAGAGTGGATGTTATTGCATAGAATGTTTTTAAACAAATGACTACAGCTGTTTGTTTCAAAGTATTGTGGTTTCCTTAGGCAAGCACAGAGGATGGCTTTGTGTACTGCTTGGATGCTCGCTCTGATAAGCCGCTGTTTACTTTGAAGGCTCATGACGAAGAAGTATCAGGTAAATTATGTGTGTGTTGTGTTTGCCCCAGTGGTGAGGCTTGTCTGGAAGATGTCTTCAGCTGATGTGACTGAGATGGTGGTGATTCCTTGCTTAACAAAAAAATAAAGTAGTGTATAGTAATAGTGAGTAACTGGCCCACGATGCCATCTGTGCTGAGAACCACAGAATGCCAGAATGGCTTGGGTTGGAGGGGACATTAAAGCCCACCCACTGCTACCCCTGCCACGGGCAGGACTGCCACCCACCAGCTCAGGCTGCCCAAGGCCCCATCCAAACTGGCCTTGAGCCTCTAGGGATGGGGCACCACAGCTTCTCTGGGTATCCCGTGCCAGTGCCTCACTGCCCTCTGAGTGAAATACTTCCTAATATCGAAATCTCTGCTCTTTTTGTTTAAAACCATTGTAAACAAAGTATTTTAACAACAGTGAAGTTGCCTCAGTGGATATCATGAATAATAAGCATATTGAAACAAATTTGTTCATCTGGGATATGCTCTTATTGCTTTTTGGGGTGAGAAAAGACAGAAACTACGGAGTCTGGTCCAGGACTATGAACCAGAACTTCTCTATCCATAATATTTTATACTGGCATTTCACTCTGATGGTGACTTAGATGTGGCACATGGGAAGATTTCCACACAGTCTGCTTTAGACTCCTTAAATCATTTGACCAGTGTAGAAACTTCTAAAAAGCAACTTGAAGGAAGTACCTGATTAGGTGAGATGTCAGTATGTCTCATCATCTCAGATAGCTAAAGAGATGGAGTTGAATGAAGAAAACTGCCTGGGGAAGCCAGATTATGTCAAGTGAAAAGCACAACAGCAGCAGCAGCTCTGTACTGTTACTGTCATTACATTGAGAGACAAAATAGGTCTACATGAAGTTTGCTCTCAAAAGGTCCTTCTGTTACTGTAGGGAGCAGTGGTAGCACAAAACTGTCATTAACTTTTTGCTTTGTTTTGCTGGAACTGAGTTTAGTGTGTGAAGAATATTAGGTTTGTTCTGCTTTCACTCTAAATGTGTCCTCAGCTCTGAAAGAGTGATTGATTGATGCTCTTACACTGATGCATTCATATCTTCCAGGGCTACAACTAAGTAGTCAGGTCAAAGGGTGCCTTGTGACATCATCTGCTGACAAATATGTGAAAATTTGGGATATCCTGGGAGGCAAGCCAAGTTTAATCCATTCCAGGGATATGAAAATGGTAATCTTTGATTACATTTCTTGCTTCTAAGAAGGCGTATGTATAACTGCTGAATCTGTTTTCTAATTTAAATTTTGTTTTGTGTAATGCCTTAAAGAAATAACAACAAAAACCCCACATCTGTGTACTCTGGGTAAACCATTCCTCATTATAACATGGTATTCAGTTGAAGATGTAATTGGCAGGCTGCTTTGAAGCCTTGGATCTGAATGTCAGATAGAGCATTCTGCAGTAGGACTATTAGTTTTCCATCATGCATCTTTTAAGGTTCAAGATGAATACATGATTTGTTAAATGTAATTAACAGCTCTTACAATGATTTTTGTAAGGACACAAAGTCAAGTTTCAAGAGACAGAGAGCTTACATTTGTTATACCTTGCCCAGCAAAAGTATTTTCTGATGATAAAATCATTTTAACATGATATTTAGGAAAAAAAAACCCAAAACTTTTCCCCCTCCTTCCCAGGGTGTTCTGTTCTGCGCAGCTTGCTGCCCTGACTTCCCATTTGTTTTTGCCTTTGGAGGAGAGCGAGAAGGGCTGCGTGTCTGGGATATAAGCAGCATTTCTGCAGGTAATATTCTCATTTTCTGGGATCTCGAGGCTCTGCCCCAGGGTGTATCTGTATAGTCAGTAATGCAGCGTGGCTCTGAGTGTGACACTTCTAAAGAAGTACCCAAAGACTGAATGTTTTCACACTACCAGCTTAAAAATATCTTTTTTTTTTTTCCATTTTGGAGAGCTGTATTAGCCACAGTATATTTTCTTGTAACTGAAACAGAATACTCATTTCTCACAGTCTTCCTTTTTTTTCTTAATGTTCTTGGTGTAAACAAGCACTGCACAGAAGCGAAGACTGGTTTTGATCAGTTGTCTCAGTTGCATGTAGCTAAATGGTGTGAATTTTTTGAGGCTTTTAAGAGCCTGATGGCACCCAGAGAGAGTAAAACCAGAAATAAATAATTTAAACCGTTTTGCTGTACAAAACTCATCCATTTCACAGTGCTTCAGTAAGGGAATTACACACAGGGAAACATCTAGGGAGTCTCCGGGGGAGAAATACCGTGACTTGTAATTCAATTATCGTACATGAGGAAACAGATTGTTCTGACTTGTAAGCTTACAACTCCCTGCTCTGGGTAATGGGGAAGGCTTTGAAACTGCATCAGGTGAGGATTTCCATTCTGCTGTATTTGCCTCGCTGTACTTGCTGCAGTGCTCTCGTCTCTGAGAAAGTAACATGGAAGCAATGCCTTACCTGTGTTGCAGTGAATGAAGTTTTTGGAAACAGAGAGAGACTTGTTCTGGCTGGTGCAAACTCTGTGGCTTGCAGCTCCTTGGCTGGTAGTAGCAGCAACAGTTCAGAGACGGCGATGGAATCGTGACGGACCAAACCTCGCAAAATCAAAGTAACTGAAGGGACTGCAGCTCAGGTGTATTCTACCAATTCCCCTGTTTGGAGAGCGTTTGTGAAAGTGACTCGTGTTCAAACTGCAGGCTGCTTTATCTCAAAGAAACACGGATACGTGGGTCAGCTCCCAAATCTGCAGTTGTGAGTTCTGCCTTTCTCACCAGCTTCAAAAGACTGAATTTCTTCCATATGCTTGAATTTACAATCCCTGAATTAGGGGCAGCTGGGTGTAGAGTTGATATACAAGACGAAATCATATCCAGAAAAGCATTCTGCTGCTGTCAGAGGTTTGTCAAATACTGCAAAGAAGGTAAATATCTCCTGATGGTGTTAAGGAACAAAACTACACAACTGTTGGCTGAAATGTCAGACAGATGCTGGGAGAAATGGCAGCTGTAAATAGTCGGATAACTTATCCTTAATTTGAGACTGGATTGACTAAAATTCTTATACAGATTTTAAGCTTTTTCATATTTAAGTTTTGTTTTTTTGTTTTTTTTTTTTTAAATCTTTTAAGAGTATTTCTTGGGTAGTATGTCTGAGTCCCTGAATAGAATCCTGGAATGTATCACTTGATCACCAAAAATCAACCCAGAAACATCTCTGCTCTGTCCCACTGTAACCAAGGGTTTCTTTCCCCTGGTTCCCTTTAAGTCAGTGGTTAGGTTGACACTCAGTTGATTTATAAGAGCAGGAACTTCTTTAAGGCTCCTCACATTTAAAATGAGCACCAAGTGCCTTACTGTAGGCCAGAAGTTAAATCTCTTAACTCATGTGAGGTGCTTCCCTTACCACCTATTGGAAGGTGGTTATTAAAGGTGTCTACTATAAAGCACTAATGCTGCAAAGCCCCTAATTATTAAAACAACTGCTCTCACAGACAGGGGGGTCAGTGCACACAGTTTACAAGCTGTTACGGCTGCTTTCCAAGCTCAAACCACACAGACTTTAAAGAAACCAGGCAATACAGAGTAGAGAGAGAGGTACAACTGAAATGAGGCTGTTTATGGCAAGAATCTAACAGGGATAACCAAGCACCTTGTCAGGGAAGAGTTCAGCTCACTGTCCCCCCACTTACAGCAGAGACAAACAAGCCACAAAACCAACCTTCAAGGTTTAGAGACAAGTTGTTAGTCTTCTCTTTATGGAGGCACTGCTGCCCCTGCCTTGTCCCAGGAATGCTTGAGACAGGCAGATGATGGGGGGAAAAAAGTGCTGGTTGTTTTTTTTTTTTTTCCCAGAATGCTTAAATATTTAAAAAGAACATTAGAAAAGAGCCACATTTTTAATTTTTTTCCAAAAGAAAACAAGTGAATGAAATCCATTTTCATTCCATAAATAGTATTAGCAGCAAACCCTCCCATCTCTTTTTAAGTGGTAAAAGGTTTACAGCACACAAGGATGTACTGTAAACGCTGTCTGATCACCTGTAAGCTTCTTCCCTACTGGTCTGTACAGTCCTTACTTCTTCACAACATGCTCTCGTGAATCTGAGTGAGAGAAGGTAATAACAAATAGCCCCTTTTTGGTTTTCTGAACACTGCTGTACTGGGATAATTGCTTTATCTACAACTGTTGATTCCACTGCCTCCAAACCAAAGCATTATTTTTTTTAGAAGGAGCCCTGAGCATTGACATTCTTTGCTCTGTGCCAAACCACATCCTTCAGTTAACAGGTATTAAAAAGATAAATACAACTAACTGCTACCACCATTTTTTTTTGTCTTGTTTGTTTTTCTTGCTGTCAGGACTGTGGCAGTTAAGGAAAAGATGGCTTACAGGTCATGGCTGTTACTCAACTACATCTCTGGGTTGTGGCTCTTCCCTCAAGGATAATGCAAGGCGTGTTATGTATCCTAGCACAGAGTGGGTTATCTGAGTATGCACAGCATGTGTGGAAAAATCTGTTCCTCATATTTCCTTTCAAGCAACTGTTCAGTCTGAAGCACATGATCCATTCTCATTCAGTGTTTTGGCTGGAGTTTATTCAGTGGTGGTAGTGGGGAGACCAGAATGAAAGGAATACTCCTCATTTGACATATGCTGTTGACTGGGGAAACAAGGAAGAGAGCTGTAGTTTCTTCCTTCCCCCGTTTTAACATCCATGAGAATTTCCCTTTTCTTCATTTGTGTCCCGTGAGGGCATCACCAGTTGAGTAGACTCCATTGTTAATCCTACAGTCCTCAGTCCTCAGTGAGTCTATCAGTTCCTCCTCTGAATCCTCCTCTTCCTCCTCTGGGGTTGACAGACTGGATGTGGGGCCTTTACATATTTTTAAGTGGCGAGTGAGGTGATATTTGGTTAGATAAGCCTTGGTGCATTTTTCACAGACATAGTCCCTCTTTCCTTCATGTGAGTTGAGATGCTTCTTCAGATGATTTGTCCTCAGAAACAGCTTGTCACACTTGGGGCACTTGATCTGCCGTTCTCTGCAAGAGAAAAAAGTCAGTTTGCTTCTGCAGCAAGGCAGCTGATGTATTAAATTATAGGGAGGTGGGTGACAGTGCAAGTGGCAGAGTCAGTCTTGTTCCTAAATCTTGGTTCCAACGCATCTGAAGCAGAAATAACAGCATTACTGCAACACTGACATGTAAATGCTGTTTTCTCTCAAAAAGCAGTATTATTGCTCCCCCGGTGCCCCTGGCAAAAGTCAAACTTCTAGGACCAACTCCTAGCCTGCAACCAACCATTTATCCTTCCCAACGATAAATCAGACAAAAAAAAAAAATCTGTAAGTTTTTTTGTTTGCCTTTTAAGTGAGACCAAACTCTGGTTAAGCTCCACTTTTTGGCAGGACAGAGGTGTTGCTATGGTTGAAGGGTGAGCCCCCCCTTCTTTTCACCCTGCACAAACAGGAAGGGAAGAAAAAAAAAAATAATAAAAAGAACAAAGCTGCTGAGTGTTAACAAACCTCAGCTGTAAATACTAAGCTGAGGCTTACCAGACTGCAACAGTCAAATTGCACATGACTGTGCAAAATGCCTCCCACCAGTAGTGTTCCTTGCTCTGGCTGTAAGAACAAGAAAAGCAAATCTCTTCATCTCTCTCATGCTTGCTGCACTATGCTGTTTCCTAGGCAGCAGGAAAGCAGCAACAATCTGATTCCAAGTGCATACAAGAACCAGATGCTGAAAATGAAACAAGCAGAGGGATTAGATTTAGGCAAGCAGCCTTTAAGGGAGGGACTCGGGACTGGAAGTAATTCCAAACAGGATGGAGAAAATGCTCAGAGCAGAGAGAAAGATCCGGCTTGGCAGGGCTGAAGGATTGGGTGAGACCTCCAGAGAAATGGAGGAGAGCCCGGGGGTGGCATCTCCCTGCACAGAAGAGACAAGTGCATGAATGAGAGTTGAGAGGGGAAATGGTGGGTGGAGAGAAACAGCTGGGAACAGATGCATTCCCCAGGTACAAACTGAGTAAGAGAATTAGCTAAAATGTAAGGACTCATGTTGTGACTTGGAAACAGTTCTCAGCAGAGAACTAAACATAAATCAGCTGCAGTGATGAGCGCTCCAGAATGCTATTTCACAAGACAGGATGCATGCCTGGAATTTCCTTTGTCATTAAAAAATTGCAAACAAACACCAGAATAGTCCAGCAGCAGCAGCAGGCCAGTAATAAGGCATTTGTCCAGACTTACTTCTCCCTTATTTTAGAAGGTGAACCTGTGCTCCCTAGGCCAAGATATTTGCACATTGAATTCTCAGGCCGTTAAGCTTCATTACTGACTGCAGCCCAGCACATCCCCAGAGCTCACTTACTGTGTGTGGGTAAGTACGTGCTGCTTGAGGTCCTGCCTCCGCATGAACAGCTTTTCGCAGTAATCACACTTCAGATTCTTCTCCCCGGTGTGGATGACCATGTGTGATTCCAAGTGAGCCTTCTGGGTGAACGATTTGTCACAGAGGGTACACCGATAATTCTTCTGACCTACAATTACACACGTATATCCACAGTCAGCGTGCCAAGAAAAAGTAAGCAAACAATCCTGACCACTCCTGAAGAATAAAAGTTTTACCCTGAAGAAAGGCAGATTCTTTATGAACAAAGCGTGTTTTCCCTCCTGCAGTTCTTTCAGACTGTGCATCAAGACCTCACCAGTTACAATCTCTATTTAGCTATGCAAAATAGGCACCTGACTTTACTTCATCATTCCCGTTGTATTTCACTTCCCACCCCAAGTCAAAAACAGCACTTCATGCTACTGTTTCCAAGCACTGAACCCTTCATATGGAGTGGGGCACTGCACTTGGTCTCTTCTATTAAACATAATCCTGTTCTTGCAGTGCTTGCACCCATTCAGTCTTTCCTGCAGGACTCTCTTTCCACTGCTTGTCTACACCAACCCCATCTCCCTGGATGAGCCATTAAAGCCTGAACAAATATACTAGGAAATTTTCCAGCAAAGAAGAGGAGGGTTATCCAACATAAATTCTTGAGTAAAAATAATGGTATCTCCTTTTCAATAGCAACCACCTAGTTACTGCACATCAGTGCATTCCCTTCTCTACTTCTCTCTTGAGTTGGTATTTCAACTGTACTGAAAAAACAGGCAAAAATATCCATACTACCTCTTGCTGGACTGTACTTATCTACATCCTCTCCCCTCTCCTCACCCTGAGTTAAACACACTTTCTTACTCCCTGTCATCTTCCTACAGAGCTGAAAAATTTCCCTTTTTATTTTTCTCTTTTTTCATTCATTAATCTTCTAGCAATTCTTCCTTTATATCCAAAGGCCCTAGTGATATTCAAATGCACACAGAGGCCATCAGCACGTTCAGACTTGGTGAGTTTTGATGAGTGAAATAGCTGAGTCTTACCCACTTCAGTCTGACCCCATAGTCACCAATTTCAGTCTTGTGCCATTTGCTTCCGATGAAAAATGAGTAACAATGAAGGGAAACATCTCAGCCCCACATTTAAGTGGGCAACTGTCCACAGTACAAGCTTTTAAACCCAGTTGGCTTTTTTCCTCATAAGCAGAAGGGAACACTTGTTCTATCATAGCTGCCAACAGCAGAGCTGCTGTGAAGGAACAAGGAGTTTCTGTCTTGCAAACGAAGCCTCACGGTTCTTCCCAACTGTAATGTACTGCAGCTCATCAAATGCTCTTTTAAGCACGGCACAACCAGGCAGAACACAGGGCTAAATACCGTCCTACAAGCACTGAATCCATCTCAGTCCTATCCCACACCAGTCAGCACTCTTCAGTGATGCCTGGCCATTAGCTGGGCTCAGCACAGACCAAAGATCATTCCTACCCACACTCAGGATGCTGCTAATCTTACAGAAAGGGGGCAAGAGCTCGGCTTTACGGACACGAGCCATACTTTGCGAGCTGACCCAGGGATCAGAGAACAGGTCTTGCCTGAGTGTTTCCCCTTCAGAGGATACTGTTGAAGTCTCCAGCCCTCACCTGTGTGTATCTTGAGGTGCGTGCGTAAGTTGCTGGGATCACTGAAAGCTTTGCTACAGAAATCGCACTTGTGTGGCTTCATGCCCATGTGCCCCATGAAGTGGACGTGGAGCTTGGAAGGGGAGATAAAAGCCTGGGGGCACATGGAGCACTTCCACTTCCTTTCCTTGCCGTGGCCTGGCCCGTGGCTGCTGCTGTGGCCCTGACTGGGGAGGTGGCTGTGAATATGGCTGCTCAAATGGGCCTTGAAGTCCGCATAGGAAGCACATTCCTTTCCACAGTGGCAGATGTGCACGTCCGGATGTTCAGGGACACCTTTGGGCACAAAAACATCACTTTCAGTGAGGCACAACCAGGCCTAATTGGACAATGAACACGATCCACATTAACACTTTATGGTAGTAAAACCAGCTGAAGAGGTTTTCACTCCAGCTCCCTTCAGCTCCGATGTTTGCTTTCCAGCTTTTTCTATATAGGCCATTTGCACTGCTTTAGAGGGCAAGTTTTGGATGGGTTGGAGCACCACTAAATCTAAATTAACATAACCAAAGGTGGGGGAGAGCAGGAAAACCTTTCAGTGAACGAGATAATCTTAACATTGGATAGATAAAGAGAAGAAAATCAGCCCTTTTTCTACAAAGCTCCAATCTTGTGCTCCTGACCAGTGGAATTAGATAATTAAATATTTCTTTTAAGCGATGGTACTCCCTTTGTAATGAAATAGAAACTGTAATGCGCACTGCTGACAAGGAACATTAAGCACTCCCAAGTCACAGTACCCAGAGGTGGCACTAAAAGGAATTCATGCTGGGTAGTCCCTGCAAAGCCAATGAAGGCGAGTTCTTACTTACCAAGCTGCCGTGCGTAGTCCCGACTGTAATAAAAGAAAAGCTCGTGCTCAGGTGGGATGTCCCGAGAGGTGCAAAAGTAAATTTTTCCATCGTGAGGATAAGCCACCAGATTCTGCTCTTCCCGGTTCCTACAGCAATATGGAGAGTTATGAAAAAAAAGTGCTCCAGGGATATTCAGAAAAAAAAAAAAAAATACACAAAAAGGAAACTCCTATAAATAAGTAATGAGGGAACCTCAGTGCTTGCCAGCACATTAAAAACAAACAAAAACAAACAAACCAAAATGTCTGTTACTTCAGTCATTTGTAGATTAGATGTTAGGAGGATACTATTTATTCAGAGAGTGGTGAAGAACTGGATCAGGTTGCTTAAAGAAGGAGCCATTCCTAAGGAAGTGTTCCAGGCCAGGCTGGATGCAGCCATGAGCAGCGTGAGCTGGTGGGTAGCAACTCTGCTCATGGTAGGGGGTTGGAACTGGGTGGGCTTTAAGGTCCCTTCCAACCCAAGCCATTCTATGATTCCATGAAAATAAATAAATAAATCATCAATGCCTTCACAAATATATCCAAAAGGAATGGGATGACTAATACAAGCTAATACACTGCAAACTAATATAGAAAAGAATCTGGTTTACAGCATTAGAACGAGGTTTTACTACAGCATGTGTATTGGCTTCCCCAGAACACTCTCCATTGGGCACTTTGTTTCACTGTTCTTCACCCATTCCAAGATGCCTAGATGCTTCCTGTGGGTCCCCTGATCCCAAGTTCTTGACCTATCTGGGTAGTCAGCACGACAGCTGAGTCATCTCCAGCACAGCCTCCTATAAGCCCAGATTCCAAGACACTTAACATGGTAGAGCTGGCTCTCACCTGGCTTTGCGTACAAACATCATCCAGTTACATTCAGTTTCATCAGTTGTAATGATGCAGAACTCTAGGACACCATTGTGATAGATCTATCAGAAAACAAAAACACAAAGGCAATCTTAGGATAAAACACAGCAAACAACACAGTGAAAGAGCTTCTTTCTCTCAGAGAGAATTGTTTACCTAGAGCATGCCAGGAGGTCTCTATTGCCGCCGTCAAGGCCACAGCCCTGTTTTTATTCCTTATTTCCCCTTCACACAGAAATCTTGGCATCTCTGCTATCCAGGAGACTAGAAAAATTATTTATCAGCATCCTTCCCACTCATCACCTTCAGCTCCCAGCAGAAATGCATCTGGTTATTTTTCTTACAAGCCAAATCTTGTAAGTAATGCTGTCTGGGCAAACAATACCTGCTTTATTTATAAAGATCAATTTTATTTTCTCAGTATGAAATGATGTGGCAAAGAAACCTTTGAAGCAGCTTTCCTACAACAAATGATTTATTGCCAGTGGAAACTTTCAATAAACAACAATACAAAACAAACAAGTGCTGCCTAGGAATGTACAATCTCTGTTGGCATTTCACATAAATACGGGAAACCACAAAGGCATTAAAAGAAGCTCTGTTGTCAGGATTGATTACCAGAATACTACATGACACAGAGCTGTGATATGCTGATACTAAGTGTTAAGCAATCAAACTGCATCAGTTTCAGGTTTTGGCAAGGATGATAATGCACAAGCTGCTGTGTCATGTGGTGTCTTTCATCAGAGAAAGGCACGTCGGGCACCCACTGACCTTCCAGATGTGACTAGCTGCTTTGTCTGTCCAGTCAGCCACCTCCAGAGAATGGCTCTGCTGCCCAATCAGAGGTCCAAAACAAGTTCTTACAGGAATGGTTTCTCGTGTCCACACACCTATCAGTAGAAGACCAACATCTGCAGAAATCAATAATTTAAACAACTAAGAACGCTTAACAGAAAAGTGGGAGATTTAGGAGATAATGCTCCGAGGGTAATATCTAGGCATAAGATCATCAAAGCTTCTATTTCACATGTAGAGCACACCTAATGCAGAGACAAGAACCACCGCCACCACATGACACTACTGGGAGCCGCTTTGTTACAATTGCAAATCTTTATGTGTTTGCCAAAAGCAAGTCATTTACTTTTTAGTAAGCTACAAAACTAAGATCCTCGCCACTTGTACCAATTAAAGTTTTCGTGGCACTTTCTGCAGAAGCAGAAAATACTAGTTTCAGTAACTACATTTCGCCTACCTAATCCCCAGGAATTTCCAGAATTGTTGCTGGGCATTGTTAAGCAGCTTCTGCATTTCTCCCCAGAGGCAGCTGTATTTCTGTCATGGGCAGAGGGATTCCTGCATGTACATTATTTATTATTAAACATTTATATAGAGAGAGATCTACATGAATACACTGAACAGCTTTCAGGAATAAACTGGAAACTAGTGGAGCTTAAAAAAAAAAACCAAAAAAACCACAACAGATGTAATCTACTCTCAACAAGCAGTAACACTAAGCAAGCCAATAATCACATTCTTCTTTAGCCTTCAGATCCTTAGAGTATTACACTGTATTCTTCGATTTCCAGGAGACAATGGTGTGTAATACTGTTACAAGGTCCACATCCAATGACAAGGTCAGTCTATGTGCCAAATGTAGATGAAGGAGGGGGAAAAAAAAAAAGAGGCACTTTTGATGAATTCTCCAATGAGAGCATCCAGAAGACCCAAAGGTAGCAAACAAAGCTGATAAACAAGCAGGCAGAAATATCTTCTATTATTTCTACTTGTTATCTTCCCCCAAGCTGCAATTGCTGTGTTTTTTTTCTTATCAGCCCTGTGCCCAGGAGATTTAGCACATGATAAAAATAAACATCATACCTTGCTGGCACTTGACCTTATCAAATGTTACAGTAATACTATGTGGCAGCACCCCACAGTCTAGCTGAAGTCTAAAAAGTAACCAGGCACAAGAAGTTCTTGCACATTCAAAAAACAAAAGAAGCCAGGGTGATTATAGAAGAGGGAACCACTTCTCCCTTGCGGTGTTTTTTTCCCCACATTCAAATCCCCACAGTTTTGCATTTCAGGCAGTGAGCATATTTTAAACTACCGCACAGAAGTACACAGTAATCTGATTCTTACCCACTTCAGCTCCCATGAGAGACTGCCGTAGGACAAGCTGCTTAGGGAGAGAAAGCCTGGCTCGGCTCTCTATTGGGGTGTCTGGGACAAAGGTGACAGGTCCATGGTCAGGGCAGTCTGATGGATACGCCTTGTCACACAGCGTGCACCCTGCAGAGAGAGGAAAGGACAGCAGGCATTAAAAGGATGCAACAGCCACTGAACTGCAACCAGCTCCCTGTCAATATGTTATAGATCAGCTTCTGCCAAAGGCTGCTTCTATCTTGTTTAACTCAGCAGCTTTGGGAGCTTTTGCTCAGAATAGTGTGTGCAATTTTATTACGGTCGGGTGGGCACCAACATACATATCACTGTTCCTATCAAATTCAGATCAAACATGCTGATCCCCACCTGCCTTCCTCTTCACCAAACTACAGCAAAACTGAGGGTGTTTTCCCCAGAGCTGGCAGTAAGGCTCATGGGAGAAAAGCCACATTCACTCTGATCACAAGTGACATAACCTCTAATGGAAGGTAGGAAAAGCCAAGCCACAAGCTTTCTGACTGAGCATGGTTTTTGAATTTACCAGGAGCACAAGAATTTTATGGCATGGAGAACCTCAAGGATATTCATATAGAGGGTCGGTAAGGTTTTCTTCCTCAAGTTTTTCTGTTTTTGAACCCACAAACGCCTTTATTGCTGCTTAAATTCAGACAGTGCACTGTTTCTTTTGAAGGACCCACTGCAATACACTCACAGAGTAAAGGTGTACCTTTACAAGATGCTACTGAATGGAACAAATCAAGTGTCCAAGAAGAGTCAGCATCACCCCCTTCCCAGTCCATCACCTGGCACACACAGTGCCAAAAAGTGAAGCGCTGTAAGTCCTTAGTCCAGTAACTTTGGGCAAAAACACATCATAAAATGCTCTCACCTCAAAAAAGGATGTCACTTCAACTCTCCACAAATGGAGCAACCTCAGTAAACACACTCCTGATAAATCACTTATCTTCTAAATAAAGGTGCTCAGCTGATAAAGTCAGATCTCCACAAAGACCTTCTTCAGTCCCTTGACAGCTCAAGTGCAGTTGTTTAAAACACCTTATCACAGAGATGGTCTTCAGTACACATAAACAACAGGTCCATTATTAAGTCTTCAGAAGAGGTTTTTGGAGAGAGATGTTAGCATACCAGAATCCGATTCTGTACAAAGTACAGTTTGAGCAACTATACAGTTACAGCCACTAAGGCACTCAGGATACCATCAAGCAGAGCTTATATAGAATTACTTCATGTATGCAGACGACATGTAAGAGTACAGCAGCTACACCCGACCGAAGTAACAAGAAATACTATTTCTAATACTGGTTCTTAAGCCTTGCCTACCATGCACCGCTGATTTTAAAGAAGTTCTTCATTTCACAACCAGTTTGGACTGTAGCAAATGCACACCTTTTTCTTCCTGCTTAGGAACAGTGTAAAAAGTTTTCTGAAAAACTTTTTTTTTCTGCCTTCTCAGTGATGAAAAACCATCAAGAGGTTCTGATACAATTCTTCTTCCTTACTGTCACTTGCCTGGACACAAAGCCATGTTTTATTTAGGAAAAGCTATAAAAGAACAAGTTACAACGCAAACCTTCCCAAGCCAAAGATTCATGTGATTTGAAATATAAATCACATGGCATGCAGTAGCCACTGTAACATCCTATCAATGAGGAACACCAGCTGGGAAACAGCTTAGGTCTCAGGAGTGATAACAAGATTCTCATCAGTGTAAATAAGTGACTTCATCACAAGCACGTTGTGTATGACGGTATTCTGATCATTTTGTCTTCAACAGGCAACAGACATTAGCGGGAAATCCTGAGTGCATCAATGGCATAACTTCTCATCTAGGAGTTGCAGCTTTATTACAGCCTAGAGCCATCTGATTTTAAGTCAGAGCTTATTACAGAGAACACAAATTTTAATTCAAGTACCTGCCTAGACTCGGGAGACTACACATTAAACTACACCTCTCCCGTTGCTGATCAAACACTATTTCTTTCAATTCCTTAAAAATTTTCTGCAAGCAAATCTTGTCAGAAGACAAGCAGCTGCAAGTCCAGTTCATGTGCAAAAGTGGTGGTCAGCAATGCTACCACAGCTGACAGAACTGGCCTTACACTTCAGGGGCAGGAAGCCATATAGGTTGCAGGTAGAAGTTCAACTCTCCATCCCCAGGAATGAGAACTTGACAGTTCTCAAACACAACTCCTTTAACTATGAGAGGAGTAAGAGAGTGCAACATCTGCTGCTTCTCTTTTCCTAAAAGAGCAACTAACTTGTGTACTGAGGTCCTTTGATGAGAATAATTAGAAATATTAAAAACTTCCCTCCCTCTTCCTGCTCTTTTTTTCCAATAGATCCTGTTGAGAACAATTCCACAGTGACTGTTTGAAGTTTAATAATAATTTTATGAAATGACACAACATCAAACTCAACAGCTAGACCAGTTGGTGAAATGCACAGCTCGTATTGTTGGTTTTCTTCTTTAAGCAGAGAAAAATGAGTCATTTGTTACTTGACTTTGAGAAACAAGAGTAAAACAAGATATCATTTGCAAAGGACAGCATCAGCGTACCCACAAAAGGCATGATCGTAAAGAGCTAAACTTCCAACCCTAAGGGAGCAGGGGAAAGTGATACAAAGAGAACAATGCTATAACACTCTACTGTGTCTACTGTTTGGAAGTTAGTCTACCCGTGTCAATATTCCAATTTCTGAGGACTTGTTAAACAGCTATATTTCTTCCATCAGAAATCCATAAGACTGATGACAAGAGTTAGGTTATCCCTCCCGACAACAGCTACAAAACAACTCCTGCCCAAAGAAAGCAGCAAATGCACACTCACATATGGTAAACAAGGTTGCCATGTTCTCCTTGTTTGAATTGGAGTCTTCCATTTGCAGAGAGGACGGTACGAAGGCAAGATTGTCTGCGGACACATCCACGTGACCCGGCCCCATGGCTACTTCCTGATTTATGGAAGACACCGCCACTGGCTCGAGGCTGAGGCCCACTTCGTGCAAGGCTACCGAGTCCAGGGAAGCGAGGTTGTGTGAGGTAGAGAGTGCCACGCTCACAGAGTTGGTGCTCATGGCCACGGTATGAATGGAGTCATTTAGTGTGCTGTCCGACATCCCTGCCACCCGCCCAGCGATGTGGTCGGGCTCCATGACGACAGGGAGTTCCAAAGTGCTGCTGTGAATGGGGATGACACCGCCGTGCCCCACTGCGTCTGGCGTCAAGTTGCTTCCCACCGTGTCTACGGCCAAAGGTTCATGGCTCCGGGAGCCATTTGGGATCTGCGAATGATCCCTGGCTACATTGTCCATTGTAAGCTCCTCTGTCATCCCATCCGTAGAGATGGGGCTGGTTACCCTCGAAACGCTCTCCATAGTGATTGTACTATCCAGAGCTACCTCGTGGCTGTCGCCAGGATGCATGTTTTGAGCACCGTGCGCATTGACTGCGCGGGAGTCCATGGGTACGATCCCTGGTTCCAGCCCCACGGTTCCACTGGGCTGGTAGGGGTCCAGGGCTGAGGGATTGCTGGGCACTGACAATGCTGGATTGCTATCAACATTTATAGTGTTGGGATGGATGTACTGAGGCGGAGGTCTGTCAGCCAAATAAGATAAGATACCTGGTAGAAAGAGAAGGGAGAAGAGGTAAGACGTCACCAGTTCTCAAATCTTAAGCAAAAATACCCCATCACTGCAGTGTAGTACATTAAAACTAAATCCCTACCAGTGTGTTCTGGCTCAGCTCCTGCCAATACGAGGAGACACACTCTTTATATTATGCCCAGTTAAAAACCTGCCTCATAAATGTATGCCAGCCTGACCCTTCTTGCCAGAGTATCTTTTGACAACAAAAAAAAGACAGACATATTCCATCCAACGAAGTCTCTGGTTATCTGTTAAACTCTAGTCATTTGTCTCCTAGCTATTTGTCAAAGAGCCACGTTTCTGCCAACATTTAGTCTAGACTCCTCAGCACACTGATCGAATCAGAAAAGGCTCTTTGCATTTTAGGCATAGTTTTTCATTCTTAAGAACCAGCCCAGAAGCAATGAAGGATTTCTAGTGGAATCTAATATTTGATTAAACCCTGGTTCATCTTTGCTAGAAGTAGAAACAGTTCCCCAGGATACATCCTTTTCAGCTCAAGTATTTAAACTGTAACAGTAACTACTTCCTTGCTCTATCACTAATTACACCTCCCTCCATCTCAGAGCTCATCAACTGCATTTCTGAAAGACTAATGTCTCTCAAAAGTATCTTGCATCACCCTCTCTTTTTCCTTAGAAAGGAAGTATGCTGTTTCTCCTTATAAACGATAGACTGGTTAAATTTAAATTAGAAACCCTAACATCTTCTCTGGTAGTTCAGGAAAGCTCCTAAACAGCAAATAACCTCCAGATTTAAGATACGAAGAAACACTAAAGAAATTACTATATTTACATAGCATCCACTTCTTCAGTTAGTCAGAGCTGAAAAAATCTTTGGAGGAAATTCATTGGCACAATCAAGTAAACAGTGCCTCCAGTGTAGACAGAGAAAGATTTTGCAGATTCTACAAGATCAGAGTTAGCACGCTTCTTTTTGGCCTTGAACCCTATGAGCCATTTGTACTGTAAAAATTTTCCATTCCAACACATCCGGTATTGTAAGCATGAAATTATGGTTACTCCTTCTGCAACACAACCCCCCAGAAATGGCTAAGTGAAGAAATCAGTGGTAAATGGGTGGCTAATTTGATCAGCTGCATCAAACATTTCTACAAGTGATGCTGCCCTGCTGCCCAAACAAGGAGGATTCTTGAAGGCAGTAAGATGACTGACAGAAGAGCTCTATAAAACATCAGACTAAACATCAAGTAGGCTAGGGAAAAAAAAAAAAAAACTTAAAAAGCTAAAGAAAAAAAAACCAAACAAACAAAAAAAAAAACCAAAAAAAAAAACAAAAACCTCCCACATTTCTGCATGAATTCTACCAGCTCAGAAGGATGACAAATACCTCTTGCCCTCAGATCCACTGCCTTCTCCTCTACTCTTTGCCCACAAAATGGCAGGCATGTAAATGCAGCAGGGAAGGTTACTACTAAGCAGCTGACAAATCCAGACATGAGCTGTCAGGTAGCCGGACGAGATCTGGGCTGCTGTATTTCTTTTCCTCATCCAAGGCTGAACCAACAACACCCACAGGGTGACCTTGAAGTTTATCTAACCCCTGCCACCCTGTCAATCTTAGCTACAAAACAAAACAAGGTCTACATTTTACAGCTCAGTTTTCCATGTCCTGATATAGTAACATATAAAATTCTACATTTTTACTCTAGTATGCATGCTAAGAGGGATTCAAGATAGATATCAATACATTTGGCAACCAACTATGAACAAAAATGAAGAAAAAACTACATCATGGACTAAAGGTGGGGGGGGGAAACAGACTATACTCCTTAACTGCTGGCTTGCTCCTTTTGAGCACTGAAGTACTGTAACCATTTTACACACATATTAAGTGCTACTTAAGACTACAGAAAAACAGCAACAACAACAAGACAGCAACAGTTTTCAAACTCTAGCAAGATATATGACATCAAAACGAGGTGTTCCTTGCATTCTGTTGATCTTAAAGCAGGAGCAGTAAGAGATTCAGTTTAGAATCATAGAATGGTCTGGGTTAAAAAGGACCTCAATGATCACCTAGTTTCAACCCCCTGCTATGTGCAGGGTCGCCAACCACCAGACCAGGCTGCCCAGAGCCACATCCAGCCTGGCCTTGAATGCCTCCAGGGATGGGGCATCCACAGCCTCCTTGGGCAACCTGTTCCAGTGCATCACCACCCTCTGTGTGAAAAACCTCCTCCTAATATCTATATCTAATATCATCTATCGATAAGTTTGAGTAGCTTATCTCCTACAATTCTCTTCATAATACATATATACACATACAACAACAGAGATCTGAAAGTGAAGCTGGTAAATGACACATCAGACCACAAGAAAACTTAAGTTCTGTAAAATGTTTCAGTTGCTTCAGAACAGAAACCAAGGGGCTCTTAAAAAATTTCTCTTTGTTTCCACCCATCAGCAGCAGACCACTCACCAGGTAGAATGTGTCTGAAGTAGCTGCTCTCCAGGTGAGGGTATGGCGGTGGAGGTAGGGTGTAGTTTCTCTCTGGTATACCACACATCACTCCTCGATCCCCAATACCCATTGGGAGCATCAGAGACAGAGCAGAGGGCAAGGAACTCAAGGAGGGGCCCAAGTTTGGAATTGCAACCGGCAAACCTGTGAAAGAAAATGCCCATTTAAATTCAGTGAAACTACAGGAGCTTATGGACAAACAAGTTAACAAAGAGGTTACTAATTCCTCAGCTCACTGTGGAAGTAAAACATAGTGCTGTCAGCATAAGGTGATGGGCTTCAAAGAAAGGATCACAGTTATCACAGCACTGAGAGATATGTCTGCACGTGGTTAGATCTTCCTTTGAACACACTAAGTAAGATTTGAATCTACTTTGCAATTGTAATGGACTTGTGTCTGTGCAGTCCCCTGAATGAACACCTAGGAAAATAGTTTTGCTTGACGGATGAAAAAACATTTTCATCAGAGTAAAGATGGACTGAAACGGAGGCAGATTTGCAGTGACAGTGACAGGTCATATTTCAAAGGACTCTGCAGTCACACACCCATCCACAATATAAAAAACCCCACTGGAACTAAATGAGACCTCCACTAAGGTATAAGCCTACAAATGCACACATCCCTCTTGTCTTCCCACATAAGCAACTGGCTTATGGTCTATCTTTTCACAGTTCTATTACTTGCAAAAGACATGACTTGCTATCAAGGCAAGCACTGCTTACCCAGTTATGAACTTTCACAAGACAATAAAATGAAGAGTATCAGCTGCAACACCCTTAATGGGAGCTTTTCCCATTACCTGGTGCTGGTATGGCGTTGTGAGTGGGTGATGCTGCCAATCCCAGGTGACTCCCTGAGACAGGCAGGGCATTGCCGACAGAGGACGAGGTCAGCTGGTCCATCCCTACAGGACTCAAGTTCATTTCATTCATCCTAGAGGGCAGGGAACAGAGAGCGGAGGTCAAAAAAAGAGAAACAGAAACAAGAGCATTCCCGAGTACTGACTGCACTGTGGGGAAGAAGGGCTGAATAAACACAAACTCAAACCAGGTACTGACACATAAAAAGTCTGTCTTAGAAAGCAAAGCATAAAATACATCTGCCACTCACACTGTGATCATGCCACAGCCATATTACAAAATCATAGAATGGCCAGGGTTGGAATTGACCTCAAGGACCATGAATCTCCAACCCTTCTGCCACATGCAGAGCCACCAACCTCCCCATTCAATACTAGACCAGGCTGCCCAGGGCCCCATTCAACCTGGCCTTGAACACCTCCTGGGACGGGGCATCCACAGCTTCTCTGGGCAGCCTGTTCCAGCACCTCACCACTCTCTCTGCAAAGAACTTAATATATTAGTCTCGTTTGATAGCAGTGACCGAGAGTAGAAAGCCAGATCAAAAAGACAAATCAGAGCATAGCGCTTTGCCTTCGATCCAGAATACAAACTCTGATTTCTTCCAGTTGAAGCCACTGTAAATAAAGTATTGTAATGGCAGACCAATCTGCAAGCTGAACGTCACAATTACTTGGACAACATCACCCAATTTGTATTTCATTACGTCTGTACTTCACATCTGAAGATTAAAACCAGGCGAGGGGAGGGGGGAAGATGGCTTAAAATCGGTAACGGACACAAAATCCCCAATTCCAAACCTGGCCCACAGTGACAAGAGCCACCTCTGCAGAATAGCCATTTTACAGAGATTTATCAGCCTAGTTCTGAACTGGTTCGTGTTCTCACCTTATTGAAAACTGGCACCACGGGTGACACAACCTCTGGCCGAGCGGCTGCACCTCCCGAGCCACTCAAGCAGCTGTAGAGCTGCAGAAAGGGCAGGGGCCGCCCAACAACCCAAATCCCCAGGCAGCGGAGAAGCCAGCAGTCACAGGGCACACCACTGGGCGTGATGCCACAAGAGTGGCCCGAACCCGTCCTCGAATGATACCGACGGGACACCGTCGTCGCCTCCAGCTGCGGGCAACTCCGCGAGCCTTCGCTCTGCCCATCGCGGCACCGCCGCCCGCCCACGGGCTCAGCGAACAGCGCGCCCGAGCACAGCTACGCGACCGTGATGGACCGCGGGCCTGGAAGCGGGGAAGAACAGCCGCAGCTCACGCAGGCCCCGGCTCCGACCCCGCGCGCGGGGCTGCCAACGTTCGTCGCGCTTCAGCTCGGCTCCAGCGCGACGCTCCGTCCCACGGCCCCCCGTCCCCGGCGGGGCGGCGCTGCGCGGCCGGCATCCCGTTCCCCCCTCCCGTGCCAGGCCCGAGCCGCCCGCACATCTCCCCAGGCCTCTAAGCCCCAGCGCCGCTCACCTGGGGTACATGGAGCCCGGCGGCGGGGCGGGGCCTCTCCCGGCGGCGGAGCGGCCGCAGCCGCATCGGGGCCCTCAGCCCCGACCCGCCGCCGCCCCTCGGGCAGCCGCCTGCCCCGGCCGCAACCGCCGCCGCCGCCGCCTCATGGGCGGGGCCCCGAGCGGCGCGGGGCCGGCCGCGGGCGGGGGAGCGCGGAGGAGGAGGCGGCGGTGATGGCGGCGGGAGGGGGCCGGGGGCCGCTTCCGCCGCCGGGTGCCACAGCCAGGAAGCGGCCCCGCCAAGGAGCGGGGACGGGGATCGGCGCGGCGCCGGGCAGGGCGTTCGGAACGGCCGGGCCGCGTTTGAATCGGTTACAAAGCAGGCCCGGAGCTGCCGTTCCTTGTTTGGTTGTGATTTGTGGCTAAATAACGTACTGTTTTGGCTAAGGCTGCGTTACAAAGGAATGTCTTGGCGTGTAGTCACCTGTGGCACGTGCATGTTAATCACATTTGCAGCTCAAATCAGGCAGCAAGTTGCTTAGCGTAGAGGTGAACAGCTGTCTCCTGAAATGCTGTAATGTGCTTCTGCAATCGGATCGTGTCTGACACCTAAATCGTAGAATCCTTAGTTAGAAGAGACCTCTGAAGGCCATCTAGCCCAACTCCCCTGGAAAGAACAGGGACACCACAGCTAGACCAGGCTGCCCAGGGCCTGATCCAGCCTTGCCTTGAAAGTCTCCAGGGATGGGGCATCAACCACATTGCTAAGCAACCTAGCCTCATCACCCTCACTGTAAAAGTTTTTTCCTTATATCTAACCTAAATCTCTCCTCTTTGATCTTGAAACCATTTCCCCTTGTTCTGTCACCACAGACCCTGATGAAAACTCTGTCCCCTTCTTTCCTGAACCTCCCCTTTTCGTACTGAAAGGCCACTCTCAGGTCACCTCATAGCCTTCTCATCTCCAAGCTGAACAGCCCCAGCCTATCCTCATAGGGGAGGTGTTCCATTCCGTGGGTAAATGTTGCCTCACACAATGAGAGATGCCTTGACTGGGAGTCTGCACAGGAGGAAACACAAAGTATTTGTCTTCGTGCTGCCTTTTGATCCAAAATGGCTGAATGTACAATCTGGAAAGATTATACCAGTTCTATGCACAGCCATCAGTTCTTTTTGGGGTGGAAACAGCTCGTCATTTGACTCTAGCATTCTGAGAGCTGGGCACCTCTTACACGCTACTTCATAAAATCACAGAATCACTTGAGTTTGATGGCCTTACGGGCCATCTGGTCCACCTCCTCTCCAATGAACAGGGATACCTACAGCTAGATCAGGTGCTCAGAGCCCCTCCAGTATGACCCCTCCAACTCAAAAGACTCTTTCATCACACTGAACTCCCTAAAACATAGGGAAACTGCGACCGGAGATCTTACATTTTCCCTTGTCATCCTCACAACTTCACCGTTACTCTCAGTATGTCTCAGTTGTGCCCTGAAACACCAAGACCCAAGTTTGATGCCAATTTTGATAATGCACTCCTACTGGAGGACCATCCTGGTGCTGAAATCCTCGCTATCTGAGCTGAAAGTAATACTTTGAGCCTATGAGTCAGACTGGATGTAGTCATAGGCAGATAAGAGTGTTTTCTCTTGCTGGTAAGCATGGGTCCTCCAACATTCCAGGTTTTTTTGTAGGCTCTTTACATCCTTGAAGAAGTGATAGTTTAACTACCAACTTAATGCATCAGTATCAAAGGAAACCAGGAAAACTATGAAGTGTCACTGGATGAGAAATTAATCTGTGTCTACAGAGATGTATTCTGCATGCCCAGAGTATTACAGCAAAGTACATTTCAGAAATGTCTCTTCTGAAAGAGAAGATTTTTTTAGAGATGGCATTTGTAACATATGTGAGTTGTTTCCATAAGACAGGTGCATGATGTCCCCTGAGAGCTTAGTTTATTGACTTGCATGGTACTTGCTGCACGAGAGCAAATGACGTGGCTATTTTTCAAGCTGCACTAATACCCTGGAGACGTACTGAAAAATAAGAGATGCTCATGGAATCACAGGGAAAAAGATACGGTTAGCGTGCATTAGTAATTCCAGGAGTGGAAATCCCCACTGGACTGTGCCACATGTCATAGCCATTGGTTCTTTCCTACTGATACTAACATGCCCTTGGATTCTTCTCAGAGGGAGCAGAATTATGCTGTACAGGGATCACACAGACAACAGTGGCTCAGGCCGGCTGATTGATATTAAATATCCAGATATCCTTCCAGCCTTTATTGGCTTGCCAGTGCTTTGCAGATCCACCTGTATCCTGGTGACAATCCCAGTATGCAGCCTTGGTAGGTCAGATGCAGCACTCACTGCCAGCTAGAGAGCTAGAGAGATGACCCACGTGAAAGTACACAACTATTAACAATGAACAGAGCTATTAAGTTATAGTTATAACTGTAATTCTGTGATATGTAGCAAATATGAGAAACTGTTAATTTCACATCTTTTAATAAATTATCTGCTAGTAAACTGCAACAGCCCAGACAAACCACAAAGTATACAATAAATTGCATTTGTTCAGTGTAATTACAGTACAATAAAACATAAGAAATGCGTAATGGGGTGAGGACTTCTTTTTTAACTCCTACTGTGTTTTCTTCCTCCTCAGTAGTATGTTCACAGATAAAATACTTGAGACCTCATCTGTTGGGAAATAGATGCACGTGTTCAACTGGTGTTTGAGTTTCTACAGTATTTCCAATGATGACTTTCATTTCAGCCACAGAGGGATTCGGTGTCAAGGAGAATCTCTTGCTTTGAGTAATTCAGAGTAATTCAAAGCAATCACGGTGTAACACAAGGATTTCTGTAGTGTTATTCATGATTCTTGTGGGAGTGTGAACAGGCTGAGGGTTCTTTTGTACAAAGATTACATTCTTGTAGACAGTATTAGGATATATGCAATTAAAACCACAACTAAGTTGCAAATAGAAACAGCACAGCTTCCAGAAACTCAGAGCCTGAACATCCTCTTGCAACAGCTCTGAAGCAGGATGATTCTGCCACAGAGCACTGAATAATATCTGACTTCTACCAACCAAAGGCAAACCAGGCTCTCTGCTTCCTTTCAGCTTGGAGAGTCTTGTGTTTAGGACATGGGAAGTAATTTGAGAAGCAGCAGCAGAATTAAGAACAGTGGATTTTCGTAGAAGGATATTGTCCACGGAGTCTTAATCTACTCATTACACTATGGTGCCCCAGTCCTGCTGCTGTCCCTATGCTCAACTGCGTGGGTTGGTACAAGCACGATGCAGCGCCCTTGTCCTGTTCGTGCTCTCATGAGAGTGTATTGCCTTGTGCTGGCTCCCTGCCCGTGTTCAAAGCCCTGCCTGTGAGCATGACATTAGATTTGTCAATAAGATACAACATTCAGCAAGCGTGTGTGGTGTGTTTTCTTCTCTTGCTCAGAAACACAATCTGCAGACTTTGACATGAGTTCAGTTACGCAGGTTAACAATTCACATTTACATTAATTGGTTTTTTTCCCCCATGTATTTCTTTAAGGAACTAACAGTGGGTTGTAATTTTATTTTATTTTTTCTGTAGTAGTAGTTTAGCACAGGTGTGGTTCTGACCCTTTGGGAAGTGCAGGTGACTTGCATTTATAGTAAACATGGTCAAGAACTCAGGCAGCAAAGAGCAGTATGTTTGCATGACAGAACTGAAACATAGCCATGCCTTTTGAACTCAGCTGCACTTCTGGAGAAGTCATGGAGGGCTGTGAAAAGTTTTGGCACCTGAGAGCCCCAGGAGGTATGTTGCCATTTCCTTATATGCTTCTACAGAGGTTGTAGAGACTGGGGAAGGTTTTTGCTTGTGCTCATTATGACAAAGAACAGCATTTTTCAATAGAAAAATGACAAACGTCAAATGTCCTTTTCCTACTTCAGGTATTTGCTCAGAGGCCAACATCCTCCTTGCTTCAAGAAAGCTTTGAGTCCTTGCCTACCTTAGTGCTACAGCAAATGTGCTATTTTCAGAATTCAGATCTGGAAATTTCTACTGGAGTTTCTACTGGAGAACTCTGTGACAAGAAAATTTCTAGTGCAAGTGATGTTGAAAAGCCAATGCTATTCTACAGTTTCCACACTTTTAAAAAAGACAGAAAGTGTTCTTGATTATTTGATCTGAAACAGATGTTTTAGAAAGGCATTTAGATGTGACTTGACTCAACTCCTCATGAAAGGCATTAGCTAACTGTTAGGCAATGCTGAAAACCTTCAGTTTGAATCACCAGCAACACTGGTGATGGAGGTGAAAGTGGACGGATACTGGAGTTTCAGCCATTTTGGTGCTTCTCCAGCTGCTGGCATAAATCAGAGGCCAAGATTGTTCTCATTTACATCTGTCTGGAAGGGTCTCCCTGTACATTCATCATATTTTGAAGATTACCATCTAGATTCCTCTTGTATCACTGTTTTTTGAAGCAGCAGAGTAAGCCAGCACAGATACTGACTTGAAAGCGTGCACTGGCATCACTGCTGCTGGTTTCTGACTCAGCAGAGACACAGATGTGTTTCTCAGAGCAAAGGATGTTGTTTCAGTTACTCACGCTTCTGAGACTGTTTGGCATGAAAGACCAAACAGGGTGGAAACTTTCACTTTGAGCAAAAGAACAGTTTTAATAGAGCCCACATGCTTGTACCTTTTCATGTTTGTCCTTTCCCACTGCTCTCCTGGGCCAAACGTTCAACTCACTGAAATGATGTTAGCAAAAAGAAGGCAGTTCTGTTAACTGTGCAGACGTGTTTCTGGGGAAAAAAAAAAAAAAAATTATAACTGTGGGGCTTTTGAACAACAAAATGGGGAAAGATGCTCCTAGCACAGCAGATTTCTTAGAGGAAGCACACGGATGACCACATGGTGCCCTTGTGCTGCCAAAAGTCCTTGTCTTCTTTCTGCCCACTTCTTCTCCTTGGCAGGCTGCAGGCGAACTAGTAGATGCAGCACAGGTCTGGGACAGCTGAGAGGGATTTTCAGCTCCCCAGTTAAAGTACTCTGGAGGATGCATCTAGAAAGCCAGCATTGATGTAAGCATCTGCTAACAACTACACTTGGGCAATCAGGGCATAACCTCTGTATTTCATTCCTGAGGAAGGTGATTATAATGATGACCAGAACATCTCTGCAATGAGTAGAAATGAGCAAAATGTTGCAGGTTTTCTTGAAGATGTTTGTGTTCATTTTGTGAAATTCATATTTCTTGAAAAAGCCTCTCTTTGGGTGAAGAGAACAGTTTTCCTCTTATCGTTCGCACGTATGCATTCTTGATCTGACATGACTTGCAACCACAAGAGTGCACTCTTTCCTTTGAAGATTTCTCTGCTTCTCCAGAAAGGTAGAAATGTGCCATATAAGTTTGCAAACTGCTTGAGAGCTGTTTCAGTTAGACCAGAGCAGCCGAAACAACAAAGCTTGCAGTTGTCTTTTGGATTTCATTGTGGAAAGCCTTTGGGTAGTTTTCAGATGACAGAAGATCCTCGGTTCCTGAAAGGGAGGAGTTCTGCCAAAACTTTGAAGATCCCTGTAAACTTTGCAAATTACGCCGCTTTTGGAGACAATTATATCAAATGATATTGTGGATTACAATACATGAGAAGTGTTTAGAGCCTGGAAGATTATTTACGTTTGGCGTTAACTCCTATGGTCATAATTTCAAGAAGGGAGAAAAGGAATGCACAGGAACCCTCTTATTATCTTTTGAAATATGAAGATCAGAGGAAAAGGAAGGTTTAAAAGTGTGGAGTGATGGTCCTCAAAACCTGTCTATAAATTAGCTGGCATCCTGCATCTATAAAATCAGCTTAGAGCTGATTTCCAGGCACCAGTGGACCTCCTGAGTCATCAGCAGTGCTTTGCGATCTGAGTCTCTACATTCTGCAGGAGAAAATTGCCACCCCTCGGGCAGAGTACCTGTATAAATGTTTCCTTCTTGCCTGGATTGATACACGATTTGGAAGCTAAATTTGGGAGCTGATTTTGCACTTGTGAGAAAAGACTAAGCATGGCCAGCAATAAAGATGATGATGGACTGTTGAACAGGATTGCATTTTCAGGAGCAATGCCCCTGGCTAACAGCCACATCCGTCCCCACGGGGTTCCCCTGAGAGAACCCTTTGGGGTTCCCATCCACCTAGACCCGTCGTACTGGGAGCGAGCCTATGGTGGGCATGCAGGTCGCATCTCCTACGTCCCATTCCCTGGCTACGTGGGTGTCTATGACTATTCCTTTGAGCCTGCCTTCATTCGGAAGAGGAACGAGAGAGAAAGACAGCGGGTGCGCTGTGTGAACGAAGGCTACACACGCCTGAGAGAGCACCTGCCCAAGGAATTTGCTGACAAGCGCCTCAGCAAAGTGGAGACCCTGAGAGCAGCCATAAGCTACATCAAGCACTTGCAGAGCTTGCTGGACTGCTATCCCCTGGGGTCTAGCAGTAAGGAAACGCTCGCCACCAAGGAGCTTCTGGATGATCCCAGCCCCGGTCCTCTGCGGGAGTGCAACAGTGATGGAGAATCGAAAGCCTCCTCAGCCTCATCCCCCTACAGTGAATTCGAGGAGGTGGGTAGCTAGGAATTGGCCCCCTGGAGAAAGAAGCCTTCAAGACCTTCTGAAAGCCAGAACTAAATCCCCTGGGATTTTTCTGCGGATTAAGATGAATACCAGGAAAAAGGAACACAGCTAGGAGAAAAGATAAAGGTATTTTCATTCTTTCAAAGGACAACTGTGTTGTCTGCACAGAACTTAAAGATGATCTGTAAGCACACAGACCTTGCTTCTGTTGTTCCAAATGTGTTACTAACCTTCGGATTGTTAAAACCGAAGCAACTGTTTGCATTCTACTTCTCATTCAGCTTTTGTTCTATTTTCATTTGCTTTTCACTCAAGAAGAGAACAAAACCAGATAAACCCATTTCAGGAAATCCTCCTTCCCTTTCTCCCACTTCCTCTAAGTTTTATTTTCCTGCTTGCTAACTTGGAATATCCTGGGTTACAAACATTTCAACTGGGAAAGGTAAGATTTAGATAACACATCCTTCCCTAAAATTGTTAGAACACTCCCAGAAATGCTCCTGTTTCTGAAAGGACAGTATTTTTACAAACTTGTGACTGATTTTTTTTTTTAATGGCATCTTCTAAAGCGAAAGTAGCAACTCATGCATTGGATTCCGGCTGTTTGGTGATCATGGGAGGGATGATTTTCAGGAAAAGTAAGTGTGGCAGTTTCACTCTAAAGTGTTCTAGAAAGTGGTAAGCAGAGATTTGTAAAACTGCACCTAAAAAGGCACAGCTTTACTTCTGATACTGAAAAAAATGTTGCCGGCCTATTTCTTTCTTTACTCAAAATTGAGTTTGTATGCAAAGTAAGCCTGAGTATTTTTGATCAGTGAGAACTTAGAAATAGGTTCCTGTAGCGGTTATGTAGTGGTATGTACAAAAGGGGTAACTTACATCTGTGTGAAGGTGTAGGTGTTTCTCCTTTTGATCAGAATATTGCATTGCTTTGTCAAAGAATACACCTTCTCAAATGGATATCTCAAAGTATATGAAATAGCTTTCCTTTGGACAATATCTGCTTAAAATGAGAATGTTACCCCAAATTGCTCAAAAATCTTCCTTTCTCCACAGCCAGATTTAATTAACATTTAGCTATGAGCTTGAATCCCATTCTGAATACAAGGTAAACTTCGTACTCATAAGTCTGGCACAAAGACCTTCCAAACTTCTGCTTTTTTGGCCTCACTTTGGCGAAATGGTTTTGTATCATTTTGTCTTTCCTTCGCAGTGTGCTGACTGAACACCTGAAAAAATACTTGTGTATAAATGAGAATGCATACTGATAAAATACCTCAGATGTGTCCATAAATTTCACTTAAATAAAAAATGCAATACATCCAGGCTGTGGGTTTTGTTTTAGTTTTTTCCAGTGGATAATAAATGGGAAATGTGTAGGAAATGCACACAAAATGCTACCTATGAAATAAATTTTTAACCTAGATTTTTACATCTAGATGGTTAGTAGGTTTATAGTGTTGGTATCTAACAAGATTTATTAGATATAAAGTTACTGTGCTGATTTCTAGCACACTGCTATGGACCTCTGTACACTTTTAGCTACTGAATGCCTGCTTTCAAGTACTTGCAGTGGAAGTACTTGGGTTGAGCTATTGCTACAGCTCTAAACCCAATTACTTCTTCTTAAGTCACATACGTGTTTCTCAATAATATTGAAAGGCAGACACTTAAGCAAATTGCACTCAACTCAGATATGAAAAAAAAGCCTAAATATGTTGTCCAAGTGGCTTCTGACAGATCATTCATTCAAAGATGTCAATGGCAGTCACAAGCTTTGTCCTTTATTCTTTAAGTGGTAGCCAGGTCTCTTTTCTGACAATTTCAATTTAGTTTGTTTCTGTTTTCCAAACCCCAAATGTTTAATCCCAATTACCTGAAAAGTTCTTGCTAAGGATCTAGAGCTTAGGCACTGATTTTTGGATGCATCAGTATGGATTCTGACAATAGACTCAAACTCTTTGTGCTTCAGTGCTTCCAGATGTTTTTGGAAATGGAGTGGCACTGGTGGTAACTCTGTGAGTAAGCATGGGTTGCATTTCTCCCTTAAAGCAGAGATCAAATCTCTCTTATCTATGAAAAACATGTATTCAGTGTGCCTGAGACAAGTTCTGTGAGATGCTTTGTAAAGCTCTTTGAAGACAGAAAGCACTTAACACACATTTAATGAGAGTAAGTATCCAAACCACTAGAAATCAAAATGAGCAGAATGCCTGTTTCTGTCTGGATGGGAGGCATCAGATAACTCCCCTAATACATTTTTGTATCGGATGCTTCTCATGGAGGTTTGAGTCCTGCAGCAGCACGTCCAAGAGTTGTAATCCTGTGGTTTCAAATGCTGGAGAGCGGGTACAGTGATCAGCTGGACAGACTGAGCCATGGATCTGCCCCTTGCCAGCTTCATCTCACTTGGGATGTGCCTCTAGGAGAGGCTCATCACAAGAGAGCATCTCCCCTCTGTGATTCTGGGCCTGCACTTGATCCACACTGCTGTAGGGTGACCCTTCCCATGTGAGTTGCAGGCCTGCTGATCAGCTGCACATCTAGATGGGGCTGGTTTATTTCTTGTGTGTCCTTAATGTTCTGTTCAGAACCATGTCTGTATTTCTGAAATAACATTCTGGAAATACCTCTGGACCTCGAGTCAAGGAGATGGATGAAAAAGCCTACATATTAATTAAAACATGCACATATGTATATTTTGGAGTGTACGTTTCACTCCTTTTAACAGCTCTGGAGATGTCCTTAAAGTACCTCTTGATCCAACCTCAGTTCGGAAGGTGCAAAAGCTAGAGTCCATTTAATTTTAAAGGAAGGTGAATTTCTGGATGAAAACCAAATTATTTCTGTGCAAAAAACATGTGATGGATTGAGCTCCCAGGGAAGCTGGATGCTTTATCTCTCACAGTTCCTGCAGGCATACAAACCTCTCACACGCTTTTAGCACAAGGAAGTAGAAGTCAGCTAAAGATCTCCCAAGGGTGGGTCAGTGCTTCTTATTTGTGTCAGCAAAAGTTTCAAGTGAATGCTACATTTCAAAAGCTTTCTTAATCTGTTTCTGTGCAAAGTTTTTCTTCAAAGCTTCTAAAGTTTATCATTATCAGACTTTGAAGGCAGACAATGATCCAACTTGTCACCCTGAGAATTAAAGTTTTAATAAAAATGGTGATTGGAAGAATTCTCTCCATGTGGCACAATCACCATTTACAAGAAAGTCAGCACTAATATCCCTAAGCAACCGTGCTACAGCTTTATCAAACTCCTGCACACCAAATGCAGACTTTAATCTTTCTATCAAATGTGAAAAAGTGCACATCTGTCGTCTTCTGTCTTCTGCCATTAAATTACAAATCCATTTGCTCCTGATATTATCAGCATTTTAAAGATGTGTAATCCTAGCCATGGGATTGCTTTTAATCCTCTAATAGCTATTTAGCTGATTTCTTTGTGAAAGCCCATCTAGTCTTCTTTCATGTTATATTATCAGTGTCAGTAAAGCAGCCAAGGGAAACCAGAAGGCACTATGAAGAAACTGTGTTCAGGCAGCAAAGCAATCAGGGCCAATTCATCTCACTGGAATAAATGAACAGGGAATAGCCACACAAAAGCAAAGAATTTTTGAAAACCTTTATAATGCCAGTGTACTCAGAAAGAAGCAAAAAAGGATGCAAAATGTTTGAAATGGTACCAAGAGGAGAGCTCTGCTGCAGTTGGCCAGATAGAATAATTAAAATTTGAAATGACCACTAGGATCATGTAGTCCAACTGCCAGCCCATTCCCACCGTGCCCACTAACCATGTCCTCAGTGCCACATCCACACAGTTCTGCAACACCTCCAGGGACGGTGACTCCACCACCAGCATTCTCTGACAACCCAGAGGCGTGCTTGCTGGCAAAAGTTATAAATGCTCACTCATGTATTTCCCACATGATTTTTTCACATTTTTCTTTATCTCACTGTGAGTACATCTGTTGGCAGAGTGATGGATAGCTTCTCTTCACTGGGCAAACCAGCCATGCTGGAAAAACAAACCAGACTGAAGGCATTTCTAAAGTTGGATGTCTCTCTCCATTACCTCAGTGGATCTCCACAGTCAGTGTAGGATCAAAGATGGAGAGGAGTCAGGCTAGGATACTAGAGAAATAATCCAAGAGCATTTGTTTGCAATTTACAGCAGTTTGGCAAGGTGACACCACACAGATGATGCTCCAGGGCTGGCTGAAAACGTTGTAACTAAAATTCATTTAACTCAGAAAAACACACAAAAACAACCATACTTCTTCCAGTGAATCATGGCAGCTACCCTGAGCCAAGACCCTGGGAAGTGAACAGAGAACAACATGGTCATCTGTTGTGCTGTGCTAGAGGCTGGGAAGCTGGGAGAAGAAACAAGGTACTCAGATCCACTGGGGTCTTCCGAAAGGGCTTTACAAAATAAATCTCTCACTGAGATCAAAAGAGCTGTTCTTGCTGGATAAAGCCCTGTGAGAAAGTTAGCTGGTGGCCCACCTCTGCTTGGCTATCACCTCTGTGGCCAGAACTGTCTTTTCACAGCTTAACTGTGCAACATGTGTGCAGGGTACAGTCAACACCACAACATCTACTCAGAGCATCCTTGCCTCTACCATGCTGGTGCTGAGGTGAGAGTAAAGGCTCAGAGCCTCATTTGGCAATGTGGTACAGCCTCAAAAAGAAAAAAAAAAACAAAAAACAAAAAACAAAAAACAAGAAAAATCTTTCCTTAGTTTGCAAATTGAGTTGAAAAATAAGTGAATAACAACAAAAATACAGTTCAGGAACAGAAAATACAGGTATGTGCCCAGGCTGGGTTTACTGGATGCACTTCAAAGGAAAAACACAAGAAAAGCTAAGTTTAATTGGTTTCCTTTTATTTGTCTTAGCTTACAAAAGAACCATTTTCCTGAAAGGCTCAGAAGCTTCATGCATAAAAGCTGGAAATCCTAGGCTACCCATAGCCCAGCCCCTGGAACAGACACA